AGAAGCACTCAAAATAACTGCTAAATTTCATGAGTATTTACTATTTTTTTATTTGATTTGCATATAATTTAAAGAATTTATAAATTTCATATTTATTTGTGTTGATTTAGTGTATTAAGTATAAAGACCTTTTGTTAATCTTTGTATTAAATTTCAAGAGTATTCCAATTAACAGCATTATGACAAAGTACAATTCCAGACTGTAATAAGTAAAGGTATGATCTACTGAATAAATAATCTTCTATTATAAAAATCTTCTTATTTTTATATAACTATTGAATGTAAAATAACCTTTATTTTACTAATTAAATGAATTGAATAAAATGGTTAGCATTAATGAATTAATAGCTTACTAAATGTTTAGATTATAATATTATTTATATTATGTATTAAATTAGCACGAATAAAATGAATACTTGTTTGAATTGTTATTGTTATAGCAAAAATACCACAATCCCATTCCTAGTTTATAATGTTATAATCAGTAATAATTTATTAATTGAAATATTTAAGCTAAATTTTTTGGTCGCACTGATTTTGTTTGTATTGCTTAAACAATTTCAATCAATATTTTATAAATATTTTATAAGAAATCTTGTGCTGGAAGCACGAACTGTGCGTTAATGTACAATGACCTCCGAAAGTATTAAACAGTACACAAAAAACATAACATAAATTCATGCAAATGCATAATTTACATCATTTCATGCAAATGGCCACTGACTTAAATCCAATAGAAAATGTGTGGAAAATATTGAAGGACAACGTTCAACAACGAAGGCCACCTCCAAACACTTACGAAGCCTTGAAGACGGCACTTCTAGAAGAATGGGAAAATCTAGATTTATCAATCTTTATGAATTTAATTAAAAGTATGCCAAATTGTATTATTCAAGTTATTGAAAATGGGGGTTATAGTTGCATATATTGATGTATTATATCAATCTGGTATCGATATGTATTGCAATAATTACATATTTATGTCTGGTATCGATATGTATTGCAATAATTACATATTTATGTATTGCATATTATTAATTTGCTAATTTGCGTAATAATGTAACCGTTTTATACTTTCGGAGGCCACTGTATATATAAATTAAATTTATAGCTGAATTTAATAAAATTTCTAGTGCTGGAATAATAACGATTTTTCTAGTGAGTTTGTCTAGAACTCTTTTTTTAATCGGTTTAATATATGAGTATCGTTAAGTGAAAACATGCATTCAAAAAAATAGATTATTATAAAATTCATAATAATCTATTTTTAGAAGTATGTTTTCATTTAACGACACTCATATACACATATTCTTCATTTCCATGTTGCATCAATTTTTTGTATATTTTCTCATCCGAGTACTTTTCCTTTTATTCCGGCAATAGCGTATGCTGATATAACATAGGAGCAAGATTTCTTTGCCACTTTAGATTTATGAAAGATCTATAGTACAAAACAATATACTAATAGTATTTCTTTATTTAACATTTCTAACCTGCGCTTAAAGGAATAGAATATTTTAAGATATACTATTAAATAAAATTATAATGAACTAATTATAATAAACTTTTAAATAAAATCTAAATTATCTCCAATATTTTCGGCTTTAAAAGATATTTTATAAATTTTAAAGTCACTACCGTACAGCGCGGACCATAGTACCCCCACATCAAAGTACCCTCTATAAAAATTGTTCGCAGTTGAATACAAGATACTCGGGTACTTTATAGAGTGAAATACCCGGGTATTAACTATGTAGCATATATCATCTCTATGTAAATACCCTCTTATATAATACCCGGGTATTAACTATGTAGCATATATATCATTTCTATGTAAAATACACTCTTATATAATATCCGGGTACTAACTTGGATTTTAGCTGTGGAATGTATTGTATCCGGGGTACTATAGTCCGCGCTTTATGGTATATGTTTGTTTTCGTTAAAGATAATTTGTGACACTTGTTATAATCACTTAGGTTTGTAACATCTTTTTGTTTCAAACATACCAAATATATACCAAATATGGAGTGTTTAAGGCGGAGATAAATTACGTGGCAATAGACCACCCAAATTGTGGAACGTGAAAACAGAAAAAGGCAATCTGAACTGTTTTAAGGTACTAATAAAAAATGTCGGGAAGGCAATTTTGCTATATAAAATGCCTAAACCTAACCGAACCCAACCTAAAGTGTCCCTGATCCTAAAGTTAATTAAATAAACAATGATACACTGATGAAACAAAATTTGTTATAGATTTTGTGTCACAGTCCGTCCATCCGCGGATGATTAAGGGTTCAATCACTAGGTGAGCGCGCGGCAAAATTATGCTTAGATATATGTAATACTAAGCGTGGTTTGCATTGTATGAGTGACAATGAAATTATTGCACACATAATGATAAATATTTATATTAATTAATTTAGTGTGACTATAATAAACAAATTTGTTTAATTAAAACAATCCGTTATCACGTGTGACGAGAAAACATACTGATACTATATACTTACGTACTGAATTTTGACTCCTTTGAACCAATCGTTTTGAACTTTCTAAAAAAAAAAAAAACAAAAACCTAAAATTTTAGGGGATTAGAATTTAGGGTTATGTATCTTCGCCCATGGGAGTTATTTCAAAATTGTACTAAAAATAACATGCATGGCTTCAAATTGACGTCATGTGCGTCCCGAAAAGCTCGCGTGTTTTGAGCACTGTAAGGTGGTTCCCTATATTGACACGCTCGTCCGCAAAATAACGCATGGGAAAGTTAATAATAGTATAAGTAGATTTTATATATGAAAATAGACTTCAAATTTCAACTTCAGCGACATCTGTGAATTAGTAATAATAATACATCCCAATGTCATAGTACTTATTAAGTAATTAGTAAGTAGTTTATGAATATTTAATTTGGATTTATTTAGTATAAGGTAGTTTGGGATGCAATTAAAAATAATTATCTAAAATAAATATAAAATTTAATATTAATTAAGTAAAAATTTTAATTGCTTAGAAATATTAAATACAAGTACTCATTTAATATTGCTATTAGTTAATATAAGGTCCTGTTTAGTCCAACTTTCTGATGTTAGTATGTTTTAATTTTTTTTAAATCTATATATCTTAAAATTCTCAAGACCAGTGTGTATGATGGACAATTTTCATATCAACACTATATGAGAAGTTGGACTCTTGCAATATACGTGTAGGGGATTCTCTAATCATTAATTAATGTTAGTCCCAAATACTGAAAAGACAGATGTTTTATAATAAATAAATATATTAATTAGTACTCATCAAAAGAACTTATTGGACGTAATTTTGAAAAATCCGATAGTATTGCAATCGCATTTATTACTATATAATTAAAAATTTTAGAGGTATTATATCTAGAAAATAGCAAAATTATGTTCCAATACTCTTATTATGGATGTAAACACTTAGATTAATATTTAAGTGGTA